TAATGATGAATAGGATGGAGATTCCTTAAAGGATCAAGCTGCACTCTATACATACACCCAGTTCTGAAGTTGGTTGTAAACTGGCTGTACTGCAAACATGTACTCATAAGAAAAGTAAATTTTTTAAAAATCCAAAGTCTATAGAAGCCTACACTGAAGAAGTTCTTTAGCAAAGTTGGGGACAGGAAGAGAAAACCACAGACTCTAACAGCAAAGCAGACCCAGGATCCTGCACCTGGTCCAGGGCCCAACAAGACCTCAGTGTGTCCTGCCTGCCCCCTGTCTTCCTGCACGCCCCTGCAGTGAGGTTTGCATCTGGGCTCACACTGATTTCCCATCACTGTGTCTCTTGCACAGTAATACACAGCTGTGTCCTCAGATCTCAGGCTTCTCAATGATAGTGAGGCTTGGCTCTTGGAAGTGTCCCTGCCGATGCTCACTCGAGGTTGAAGGGCTGAGTTATAAACTGTACCTCCACCATTCCCTATCACACCGATCCACTCCAGTCCCTTCCCTGGAGCCTGACGGACCCAGTGCACACCATAACTAGTTAAAGAGAATCCAGAGACTGTGCAGGTGAGGGACAGGGTCTCTGAAGGCTTCACCAGGCCAGGTCCTGACTCCTTCAGCTGCACCTGGGACAGGACACCTGGGGACAAGAAGCATCACCATCAATCAAACAAACCACACACCCTGCTCCCATCTCGCTCTCCTGAAATTCAGAGACACTCACAGCAAGGAGCCGCCACCAGGCAGAGGAGCAGCACCAAGGACTCCATGCTGTATGAAGGCTCCTGTGAAGGGAGACTGGGGTTACTCAGCCAGGGCTGGCTTTTCATCCTGAGCCTGAGGTTGCTTTGCATGGAGGTGGCAGTGAGGGTATAAGAGGTGGACAGAGGGCAGAGCATTCTGGTCCTTCCAAGGACAGTGTTTTTCTTATGATGATCCATTGCACTGGGGAGAGGAACACCCCAAAGACACTTTTCTATATCTTCTGTGGTACTGATACTTCTACACACAGAGAAATTGAGTTGGAGCAAAGATTTTGTTCATTTTGAGCACAGTTTTCATTGGCAACTTTAACATGAAAGTGTTCATGTCCGGAAAGGATTCTGATATGCTGAGTGTATTTACTAAAGTGTGACTTTCCAGGCGAGAGTTTGTGCTGAGGCAGAGAATTGTGTATTTGCTGGGCTCTTGGTGGAGATAGAGAAAAATATTTAAGAATCTAACTATGCTTTCTCTCTTCTTGGTGCCATGCCTGCCCACGTCTCCATGACTGCCTTTTAAAAAAGTATTGCTTGAGGGTAGTTTTCATAGACAACTTCTAGACCTTATTCCCTGCATTCTCACAGTTAACTTATTTGGGGAATTTTCTTGGAGTTCATGGATCTCTGTCTCAGCCCATTCTTGGCTTTTTGTAATCAGAGATGTCTACTACTATCTGAAAATGTGGGATCTCTCATGGACTACAGACATTCTGACCTCTCCTCTTAGAACCCTGTCCCTGAAGACTCATGGCTTCATAATGACTCAAGTTTCTAAATGTGCAGCCTGAATAGAATGTTTGGAAAATCACCTCAGGAGCTCACATTACACCAGTCAAGATGGAGACAGGAGGAAGATGTAGGGACATACTCAAGGAGCAAGTGCATATGAGACTTTGTATCTGGCTTCATGCCCACCTGCCTCTCAGAGATGTTGTATGTGCTGGGATAAAGAGGGCCCTGCTCTGCACACACAGTGCAGCTCCTCCTGGCCCTGACCTTCAGATGGGCCCAGAGAACACCACAAATGGGACCACATTGTGTGTTGGAACATCCCAGTCTTTGTCTCAAAAACCAAGATAGAAGAAGGCCAATACTATCAATAATGTAAGTGAAATGTTCATCTATTTCTGAAAAAAACATTCAAGGAGGATTCCAAACTTGTCAACAAATTTTTACATCCTATGCTTTTTTTAAATGAGAGATCCAGATGTGTGTGGAGGTGAAAATCTATAATCCCAGAAGTTAAGACTGTGAGGCAGAAGGATTTCTATGAGTTCAAAGCCAGCCAGGGCTACATAGGCAATCCAAGGCCATGCTAAATCACATAGTGACACTCTGTCTCAAAAAATAACAAGAAAAACAAAAGCAAAGCAAGTGAGATCAGAGATCGTTAGATACTCTCGCAATGGAAAACATTCAAAATACTGGTCATGTGAAAACCTCATGTGAAAGACAGAAGAAAACCTGAGAAGCAACAGCTTAGCACACATAGGTAGCCAATCATAAATGAAATGATAAACGTGCTATGTTTTAAAAATAGAGCAAAAAACATTCGAAGTCCATGGGCAGAAGTTTTGTGAATTTCATATGATCTGTATGATTACAAAAACCTAACCTGATGGATCTTTTTCCTCATATGTATTCGAAATCTCCACACCAGAGCCCAGATGTGCAGGTGTATTCTTGTTGTAGCCCATGGTTTTGGCTGGCATTATCCTCTCAAGTTTAACTTTGAGGCTTCAGAGTGTTTATTTTATATCCCGGTCCTATTACCATGTCCTCCATGATGGTGACATTGTGTGTGTTCCCTTCACACCTCATGGCCAGTGCATGTGCTATGACATCTTGGCTCCATTTCTTGTTACTACATGCATGACATAGTGTAAAACACTGAAGAAAATGTAGGTTTCTTTAATTCAAAATCTCACGCTCTTTTATTTTTCGTATACATGCAATTAAAAAATAACTGTACTCTCTATTGAGGGACCATAAGATGTTGGTGAAATGACTGTGTCCAGGCTAAGATTTCACCGTTGTGTTGTACCAGATTGCAGGGCTGTGCTTAAAAGTTACAGGATGGGCTTTGTTAATGGAGTTTGTAGGTCAGCTTGTTGGTCATCTGTGAGGATCATATGTGTCCTTGTGGAGTTTTTAGGAATTGACCAACACTTGAGTGAATGAATTCTCAGAAGATCAGATTCTCCTCCATTGTGTGTGTGAGTTTCATTAACCAGGAGAGCCTGCACAGCCCAAACCACTAGTGTCACCAATCTGCAGGCATTCACCAGGGGACAGCCTGCAACTGTGCCTGCACCTTCCGCTACCTGGTCTCCACCTGCACACCACATGGCAGAGCTGCAACTTTCCAGCCTCCATGGTCCTGTCAGCCAGTTCCAGAGGAAATATCTCTTTCTGTGTGCTGTCATTATTTGTCTGGTTTATCTCTGCTGCTCTGGAGAACCACATCCAATGCAGCCCTCCAGACAAGCAGTGGACAATTAGAGCAGTAACTCAAATTACTGAATATTCCTTTATAGCACTAGCTGCAAAGGACATGTACCATCTAAATCATTGTGAATTTTCAGTTTCTTCACACGTCTGTTTGAGTCCAGTGTGTTTATTCACTTTTCCATTTTTGTGATATTTCCTAAGAGTTTTTGGTAGAGACATGGAACACATGTTCCATTGCTAATTTGGATTGTGTAATTTCATTTTTGTTAGTAAAGAGAGGTAAAGGCCAGGCAGTTATGTTGATCTCTTCCTGGACACAGCCTTGTGTTTACTGAATTTTCCCCCTGGTTTTATATTATTTCCTGTTATTGATTTTTAGATTCCATCTCCTCATTATTAAAGTATAATCTTGGCATCATCCTGATCCATTCTATACATATGGAGATGTACAGAAGTGTGTGTGAGGGTTTTACCATCAGAAACCCAATATGGAGGAAGGAAGGGAGGGTAAGGGGAATAACAGGAATCAAGATGTGATAAGCACAAGCACCTACTTTCTAAAGTGGAAGTAAATATTATGTACTGCAAACAAGTCTTAATACAAAACTTTAATGTGAAAAACTGACAATAAATAGCATATTATATACATGATAGTGAGTTAACAAATGTCTCCGAAGTGGGAATAGGATCAAGAGACTGGGGGACAATAAAAAAGAACTAAAATGTGCATGTGTGGGGATTGAGTGTAGAAATGAACTAATGTTCACTAAAAATTATGTGATCATTTCAGGAAAATTTAAGAATACTTGTGTGATGGAAATACAGAAATAACTGAGATAAAAGTGAGATAGAATATAGAAAATGTATAAATACAAAATATGAGAATCTTCTTAGAAAAAATGAATGTTATCGTACTATTATGAGAATCTTCTTAGAAAACTGAATGTTATCGTACTTGAGCACTTTCCCTCATGTATTCTTCACCTTTTACTGATATATAGATTGAATCCTAGTGATGAGAGATGAGAAAGAAAGAGGAGAGAGACAGAGAGAGGGGGGATTTAGAGGGAGAAGTGTTACAGTCTGTTTTAAAATTGTTACAATTTCTAAAGTCCAGAGGAAAAGCGTAGGCCCAACCCCTGCTCCGCCCCCTCGGATAGGAAGAGCACAGCAAGGCCCCTGCACTCTGCCCTGAGTCCAGCCCAGTTTCTCTCTTCCCTCCTCCCTGAGCACCGGACTCCACAAGCTGCTGGGGCTGAGCCTGAGGACCAGACATCCTGAGGTGGCCAAGGGTAAAAGAGAGAGCTGGGCGTTTTCAGACTCTGTCAATTGGGTTGGGAAGGACTTCATTCCTTACTCTGTATCATGTATTCTTGTATGAGACAATTCCTCACATTTGAGAATAAATTAGCAGATACAATTTTTTATGATGATGAGTTGACACTGAAAAGAAAATGCAGTTGACAAAGTTTCCTAGTTACTTCAGATCATGTTTGCGGTGTTTGAGGTCATCACACCAGGGACCAGGGATTACCCATCAAGTGCAAGTTAGATATACGAGGTGAAACTCCATACTTCAACAATATTAACGGAATGTTCACTTATACTTGGATACTTCATTGCAGCTCATGCATTTCAAGGTTTGCTTAGATCGTGTGATGTTAATACGGAAGGGAAACCCCAGAGGCCAACAGGAAGCCCTCACCCCTCTGCTGCCTTCTGTGCACCTGCTGCTGGGGCCCTGCCTGGTTCTCATGGACCACAGTGACCCCTGCTGGACTAGCTTGAGGCCAACAGGAAGCCCTCACCCCTCTGCTGCCTTCTCTGCACCTGCTGCTGGGGCCCTGCCTTGTTCTCCTTGAACCACAGTGACCCCTGCTGGACTATAGCGCCCCTGCAGGGAGGTTTGTGTCTGGGCGCACACTGAGGTCCCCTCACTGTGTGTCTTGCACAGTAATACACGGCCGTGTCCTCGGTTCTCAGGCTGCTCATTTCCAGATACAGCGTGCTCTTCCCGTTTTCTCTGGAGATGGTGAATCGGCCCTTCACGGAGTCCGCGTAGTATGTGCTACCACCGCTACTACTGATGTATGAGATCCATTCCAGCCCCTTCCCTGGAGCCTGGCGGACCCAGCCCATGGCATAGTCAGTGAAGGTAAATCCCGAAGCCAAACAGGAGAGTTTCCGGGACTCCCCAGGTGCTACCAAGCCTCCTCCGGACTCCACCAGCTGCACCTCTGCTTGGACACCTGCAAACACAGAGACATCTTGCTCAGGAAACTGTCACACACGTCCACTGTGTACAATCAGGTCCTCAGTATATTTTGCTCTAAATAATTTACCTTTCAAAATTACAAACAGGAAAACCCAACGCATGGTAAGCTCCATGTTGCGCTGCCTGTGTTCAATCCTGATCACCAAGAGGGAGGAGGACCTGGGCATCCAGGGCTGGGCTCTCTGCAGAGCTGCAGGGACAGGGCTGGGCTGTTTTTTAGCAGCACAGTGAGGCCCTATTTGCATGACCTTCTGCTATATAGACAGCAGTGGGGATGGAGAACTCAGAGAGGGCAGTGCCCACTTCCAGTGAGAGTGTGGTGGGATAGTGTGGTACCAATGAATTCATTTACGATAATAGGAAATCACATTATGAGATAATGTATTGAATTTGTCTCTTCACCTACTTTTATTTGTCATGTACACATAGCATGCATCTTTCTATTAAACTTGTCTGCTTGGAAAATGATGAAAGTAAAATTCATGTGAAATTATGAAAGTGTGGGACACAGTTTCCCCTTCTATAGCAGAGCTGATGCCCTGCAAATGTTCTCCCCACTGTCTGGGCCTAGGCTCTCCAAATTTGTGAACAAACTGCTTCCTGTTCCAGCTCCTGGACAGAGAGGGGAACCTGGCGATGTTGCTGTTCCCCTCTTCCCGTGATGAGCACAAGTGTGAATTTGCTGAGTTTTACTGTTTGCTCAGAGGAAACAGAGCCTGTGTTCATGTGGATGCCTGTCCGTGAATCTCTCATTTTCTATTGTCATAAAGTCTCTCACTCTTTATCTATATTTAGAGATAGTTTATCCGTGACAGCTTCATCAGATCGAACATGTAAACTGCCCAGCTATGAAGTGAGCACCTGAGAAGTACTAACACACAAGGGCTCTTCCACAAGCACTCACGGACAGAGCAGGGAACATACGTGTCATCCTGCAGTGTTTCCTGGGGCTCCTCTGCCATCCCTCCCTCCTGCTGCTTCCCTCCTGCATCCTATCTCCAGGCAGCTCATGACCTTCATGTTGTTTACAATAATTTTCCTATTTCAGCATTTACATAAAGAGCACACTCCATCAAACTTGATCATGTGTAATTCAAATATTTTTTTAAAATATCAACACACATCTATGTGAGTCAGCATTCTTCGATATTCATGCTGATTAATTTCCCAATGTATGCAAATAGAGCCATGGATACAGCTCAGTTGTCGGCTTGCCTACAGATTGTGAGGCCTTGATTTTCATTCCCAGTATGGAAATGATCAGAGAATGTTAACAATTAGAGAGAAACAAAATGCAAAACATTTCAGTTTAAGTCTTCAGTTGCTGTGTTACTATTTAATCAAATGTTCTAAGCTTCTGCTTATTATAAAGTGAGCTACTCATCATCACACAAATGCAGACAGATGAAAAAGTTGGTCTCTTTTGTTACAACACAGACTACAACTATAATCAAAAAACTGGATTCAATGTAAATTAATAATGTTTTCAGTGCTCCAAAAGAATGAAGTTGCAAGGCAGTAAAAATATGGAACCTGGAAATTTTGAGGTTACACAGGAAAATAAGGGTAAGATTTATTTGCCTGGGACCAAGTTCACAATATGCCATGTAGTAAGAAGATTAAATTGGAAGCAACTCATTGATTACTATTGGCTGAGTGTGCTGAAGCCTGAGAGTGTGAATTTAACACTTACACAAACTGGGGAGGAGCGTGTTCTATTACTGCTGCTGTAAAAACACCACACAAGGAGCACCTTACATCAAATACAGGCATTTGTTGTATTTGTGGACACAGAGTTTTATGAACAGGGAATGACAGATTTGGTTTCCGCAGGGGGATAGCTGTGTGCTCCCAGACCTTGTCTAGATTCTGCACCCTCAGGTCACAGGAGAAATGCACACTGTGTCCCTACATTGCAGGGAGGCAAAAAAAGTGATATGCTCATCATACAACAGTCCTGATCTCAACTAAGAATCAAGTATCCTTGGGAAATTTTCCAGAAAAGACACCATATATTATTGATATCCACCAGGGCACAGATGAGTTCCAATCTATAAACTCTGAGGGGCCCATGGATTCCAACCATAGTTTTCTATCCCGTCCTCCCACTCCCATGTCTTTATCTCTTACTAACATCGTCCTATTCCCTCATAACCACTCCAAAGTTTTAAATCTCTTTAGTACCCTTCTCAAAGCCTGATGTAAATGCCATCTAAATGAATTGTGGGTGAGATTTTGCATGTGATTCTCCCTAATTTGTCTTCATAAAATTAAACAAGTTGAGTGTTTCCCAACTACAATGCTGAGCCTTCCAAGGCATGGACAGTTCTAATCTAAAGATCTGATACAAAGGAGCAATGAGTACCACTAATAAGCACAACCTGACTGGACCAATGTTTACCCTGAAGGATCCATAGTAACCCCCTTTGACTTCATGTCAGTGTGAATTTATGTCACATTTCACATGGTCCTTTTAGCCCCATCAACATGTTTTTCAGAGCTCAGCTCCTACAAGAGTCCACGTGGTTGCGAGCTGGCGCCAGCAGTGTCCCACAGCAGGTTTCCATCCTGGTGGTTCTGAGGGCCAGGTGCCTTGTGGCCAAAGGGGCAACAGTTTGCAAGGTCTACAAGGCGCTGCTCTTGGGCACCTCTCTTGGTGGCTGTCACCCTACACTTGTGCTGCCATTCCCTTTTTGAAGGTTCTCTGCAGCTTCTGCCTTCCGCAGAGGTTCCTGCCTGATCCTGCAGATGTCCAGGTCTGCTTTGAGGTCAGATGGAGGCTTCCATGGCCACAGTGCTTGGACTTGGTACACTTGCAGAGAGTTCATCTAATGCACACCATGGACATACACGGTTTGTGCATTCTGCAGATTGATTTTGGATTTTTAATTGGTAAAATTATTGATACATGAATCTCTTCAGTAGATTTGAAATGGTAATGAGTCACAGGAGGATAAAAACTAAGGAGGACCGAGGATCTCAGCTGGTCCGAGTGTAACTGCTCCATACTAGGACCCTGGAAGGGCCGTATTCTGCGCTACCTGATCACAGGTTTCCTCCGCATCCTCCGAAGGGACTGAACATCCCTGGACTACAGAGTGTGGTCTGTGGGCCCTGATCACCCCGAAGGGAGATTTGTGCCTGTGCTCACACTGACTTCTGCTCACCCTAGATTTCAATGTTTATTTAGACTTTAACAGGTTCCCCAGACCCAGGCCAGGATCTGGGCCAGATGAACACAGCAGAGTCATTCTCACACAAGTTATCCTGAGCTCTGCACAACTGAGGAAATGTTCTCCTATCCAAGCAACAGCAACAACAAAACCTTGTCTGAGACCTCGAGGTAAGGGTAGAGCCATGCAATGGAAGTATTAGGGACAAGTGTGATATGGAGAAGGCCCAGATCCTGACAGGAAACATCCTTTTGCTTCGTTTCATTAATTTTTTAACTTTTATGACTACATATTGAAGTTCATGCACTTTATAATCATCTCGGGGAACGGTACCATGCACACACTACAGCTTCTTTCCTTTTCTAAATCCCCTTCTGCTTCACTCCCCCTCTGTTCGCCCTCCTCCAATTTCACTGTTCCATTTTTCATTCTTGTTGCCATTTTTAATTTTCCTTAGCTCATCCTATGGCATATAATGTTCACATTAATTGAAATTACAATGTTCTTAAACATGACATAACGTTATTCTACTTTTGTCTCGTTCCCCTCCTCCTGGTCCCTTGCCCTTGAACCACTTCCTTATTGAAGAGACCCAGCCCCTTGTCCTCTTCTCTCCACCCTTTATTATTCCCTTTGATGGTACAGTGCTCTCAATGTACTGTGTGTCTTGAGCTTGCCCTGCCTGGTGTGTGCACCCCTGCGGGGATGTTCATGTCGGGGCTCCCACTGAGGACCCCATCTGATTAATCAAGCACTTGGGCCTAGAATCCTTACAACGCTTCTCAACAACTCCCTGAACTATTCTAAATCACAGGCCAAATGCTTGGTGATGTTTAGCACACCAACTCTTTTAATGAGAGTACATTACATGATTTTTCTGCTTTCAAATTCTTTTGCCAATCTATGTAGGGAGGAGGATTCTTTGAAATATATTCTTATGATTCTGATATATATTATGTCAGTCAACTTGGTATTATAATTCATAAATTATTTACTTTTCAGCTGTTATCCTTTCTTGATGTGTAATTGAAATCTATTTGAACCAAAATATAGAATTTGTTGAATATTGTCTTAACCTTCACAATTGTCTCGCTATATACACAATCCATTTCTTCAAATCTTCTAGTTCTCCGAAATTTCCTGTTTTTGTAATTTCCCAAGCAGATATTGTGGTACTGAAATTACTTTGTATCATTTTTCTCCTGGGGTCCGAGCCTGGAGATGGTGCTTCTCCTCCTCCTTACTCCCTTTCTCCTTGCTGCCCACTTCTCCTCCATGGATTAGAGAGTCTGTTGGACTAATGCTGTAGACCCTGGATGGCACAGCCCCAGGAGACAGTCGCACTACGTAAACTCCCCTGTTCCCTGCTACCTTCCTGCCCATGCCCGCTCATGAAACAACTGCAGTAATTCCCCCAGGTCAGGGAGGCCACGTAGCACTATTTGCCCTCCTTCTCTTCCTGCTTCCCTTCCACCATAAAGAGCGCGGAGCTCCAGGTGGCCTTTAGATCCTGACAAGCTATGGTTCCACCTGGTCCCAAGCTTCAAGAAGAGTTGTGGTTTCTTTGTTCCTCTTCATCTCCCACTGCTCTCCCCAGCTTTCAGACCCTATGCGGTGCAGGTCAGAGCAGTTTTCATTACTTAAGTTTTATAAAATTAGAAGGACTTCATATATAGGCCTGTTCTTACTGAACTGGGCATGGATATTTGTAAACTTACTCGTGTTTTTCATATTATACCATACATATATTGAAATTTAAAGGAATGTTGTCTAATTAATGAATTTTCCAGCCTTTGCTTATTATCTTCATTCTCAAAGACACAGGCAACTGGGAAATATGTGCTTCATACAGCATCAATCCCACATATGTTAGTGATCCTGCCAATTACCATTTACTCTCTGCTAATTCAGGTAATTTGTCTGTGTCAGATAGCATGCCTGTGTCAAAATTACCACAATGTTTGCAGTAGATAAGAGTGAGCATTATTCCCACTTCATGAATGG